TTATGTCTGTAAAGTGACATAAAGATATCATGTGTAGGAAAATTCACCCAGACATCACAGTGTATCCTACTCTCCCATTAATAGATACATGAATCAACAGCAAGCCTTTACAGTAAGCATAAAGTCATCTTATATATATATATATATATATATATATATATATATATATATATATATATATATATATATATATATATATATATATATATATATATATCAGAAACCACATCCTAGTTTCTCTGTGGACTGGGAACATGCACATTTCATAGGATGATTAAACAACTCAATTTTTCCCATTTAAAAAGTTGGTTGCCTGTAAGCATACCCAATATTTTCTATTCCTGTGATTTGCTCATGAATATGAATTCTTTCACATAGCTCTCACACACTTTTTCATTTGAAGGTTAATAAATCAAAGTATTATCATTTCAAAGCATAACCAAAAATCTGAAGTGTGATCTTGGAGATGAACACAAAATTACACAATCCTTGGAGATATTCTGTAGAGATCATGAAACTATTCTTTAAAATTCAAATTCCATATAATATCAAGTATAGACCTATCACATTTTTAAAACATAAAAAAGGAAACGTTTAATCTATTTTCAAAATTAAATATGCAAAATTGTAAATTTATCCATGCAGTTCTCTTAACTGACAGACTTTTCACCTGACAAGCCAGCAGGAAAATAAAAGAGGGAGACATGTAGAACCATTTATCAAATATTCAAAAATCCACACCACCAAAGAGGCTTTTTTAAGGCTATTATGAATGACAGGAATGATAACTTACATTTTCTGAGATAAATGGGGGTACTATACATCACATTGACTTGCCGATGCACCCAAATACAAAATGTTTTCCCAAATGACACATAGGCTTATATAAAAACTATCATGTTGGACACTGTAAGCTTGGTCTACATACCACACTTAACTTACTCTTTTATCAGAATTGTTACTTTTAAGGAATGTTTTAAGCTCCTTTAACATAGTGTCAAGATAGCTTTTGTCTTTATCTTGGTGCAGTGTCTAAAAGAGCTTGCCGTGAGGGTGCGTCTTCATTCGCTTTAGCATCAACAGTGTCAGCATGTGGTAAGGACTGCAGAGTGAGTAGCACCATATTTTTTTGGTTTTACATATTTGGAAAACTTAGTAAACTAATCAAAACCCTATGAATAGTTTTTGTGTTCCAGGTACCATAATCAAATGAAAGATTAATTACATAATTTCACACATGCTGAACTTCAGACAATGCATTAATTCCACAAGCATCAACTGCTGTTTTTTTCAGGGTGCACTGGTCATGCCTTACAAGTGTACATACAAATAATGCACAAGCTGGTAATATGCTAGAACTGCATTTTACTCTATACAGAATCACAGACCATTTCAACAGTCTCTGCAAATGGAATGCTTTAATCAACATTTCAAGAAGTTTTGGTTTATACAAAAATAATCTTAACATAATCATCTAATCAAGAGACTGGAGTTAAAGTATTACTAGATAATATGAATATTCAGTGCTGTAATTGTGACAGTTTTAAAATAAACATATTTCCTTTAAGAAAAATTTATACTTTAGCCACATAAGATATATGTGTCTGTCTTTGTTTGTGTGTTTGTTTGCTTGTTTTTGTGGGGGCCCGTACACGTGCCTGTGCATGTGTGTGCTTGTTTTCTTAATTAAAACAATAATTTGTTTCATGCAGTTCCCTAAGAGAGAAAGATAAAGTTTCAACTATTACCCAAAACAAATTTGGGCTAGAAAATTATTGGCCGAAGTACCTAAAAGTGTTCACTGAAGATTTTGTTAAAATCACCGAGTCCTTCATTATCCTTCAGTACTGTAACAAAATTCTAACTGCAGTCAGTAACAAACCTTAATATAAGAATACAATGCTTGGACTTTATGCTGGGTCAAGTGATTGTAAATATTTGATCCGAAGTGCTAAATAGCCTGAAATTCCATCCAAAGCTTTGCAAAAAAAAATTTAAATATAACAATTACATTACATTCTGTTAAATAAGTATATCAATTTTGCTTTGGATCTTTCAATCTTTGGAAATTATCCAGAGCATCATTATTAAACATTTTTTAAATCATCAATTTAGAATTTGAATTAGAGACAATATATTCTCCAAGACTTGTAAAAGGACAGATATGCAAATACAGAGTTGGCTTAACCTGATATAACTCATTAATTAAAGAAAAAAAAATGACTAGATAGTGTATATCAAATCATCTAGAATTTAAAATGTAACTTTTCCAAACTTAATATTCAGTTACAAATTCTTGCTTTTAAATACCCAATACTGGATATTAAATGCACCAGTATGTTGTTGTTTTTTTCTCTCTCTCTCTTCTTTTACTAATTCTATGTATACAATATTCTTTTTTGATCAGTAACAGAATCTCTTCCCTACATGGCACCACTGAACAAAAGAGAACAACCTTCCCTTTCCAGTTGTTATTTGTGGAACAATCACAATGCAACTTAAACTACAGTCGTGGAAATTGCAGATCACTGAATTAGGGAGATGGAGATGGTGGAGGAAGATGAGATGAAGAAGAAAAAGATAACAAAGCAAAAAATAAAAGAAGATGAAGAACAAGAACAAGAAGAAAGAAAATATAAAAAAATGAAGAAAACCCATTGTTATTTCTTTAATGTCAAAAAATTACATCTTTAATCATTACCTGTTTCATATTTTTCTCACAATTTTCTCTCTCCTTCGCAGGGGAGAGGAGGAGGGTGAATAATTCAAAAGAAGAAATTATTATGGAAACTTAATACATACAGTAATGCAAAAAATTAAGTAAATACTCAGCAAAACAATAATCAACACATATATTACGAAAAGAAAGTAACAAAGCATTTTCAAATCTCCTGCATATGACAAAAAGCTTGTGGTAAATTCCATATTCTAGATAAAAACAAAAGAAATAAAAAAAAAACGCCAGGACATACCTTCAAAACACACAAATGAAATGTTTCTAATACAAAGCATCATCCATTCATAGTCTTTTTTATTTTTTTTAATGATGTCTGTGTTCTATTCTGTAAATTGTACGCAGAATATTGAAGCTCACAATATCAATTTCTTTTTTTGTTTGTTTGTTTGGTTTCACATGTGAATCTTCTGCATCTTCACCATAAATGCATGTGCTGTAAGATGAAACATTCATACTTTTATGTAAACCTTATATACTAGTGTCTATCACCTCCAGTGTTGGAACTAAGTGCATATGAAGAACAAATGAGAATTCTTTTAAGGATTTACACATTAATTAGTTAGGGACTCAGGAGAGAAAGATAGAGGAAAATCATACATAATATTGAGTCTATTTCTACAAATCATCTTAGAAAAAATAAATGTAAAATATAGAAGAGAAAACACATTATTTTTTATTTTGATCTCATTAGCAATCATTAACTAACAAACTACAGTGACTATCACTTTTGTGCTTTCTGTGGGCTACCTACAAGATCAGGCTCCTATTACATTTATTTTCCTTTAAATTACATGTGATCTACACAATGTCTTGTAAACTGTGGTTAGTTTATTCCCCATGCAATTCATCACATCAAATCATCATTAATAAAGCATAAAAAGCAAATATGTTATAGTATGTATGCAGCATAATAATTGAGTGATATCTAGTCATGAAAGCAAACTCTTTTTCATTTAATGCATCATTATGATTAGGTGTCTGGTAAATAAAAGGATGAGTGATCAAGTGATTGAAAATAATAAGTGTAGGTAAGGTTAATGTGTCCATTCTCATGTGCAAGTGTCTGCACATACTCGAGATAAGGTGTGTGCGTCAATTATAAAATACATAACAAGCAAATCATAAACTTTATGACTGATATGTCATTTAGTGACATTGCAATACCAAGTTTCTTATAAAGATATACATTCGACTAATCCTGTTAACAACTTTATATCTTTGGTACTGTAGTTGCCGTTTTTTTTCTGTTTTGCAACACACCTAACGAAAATATATATATATATTAATAATGATAAAGATATAAATATCCTAAGAAACAGTTAAATGGTGACTTACAAATGATCTATTAAAAAATGGCAATTTCCTAATTTTACCTGAAAATACATATTCTCTGTCATGAATACATAATTCCCCATCACACAGATCTACATACATTCAAATGAAAATTTTCTCCTTATTGAACATGACATCATGTTACACGTTGCATTGAAGAAGACCTTGGAGTGCTTTTACAGTATTTTAAGAGTCCCTTGTAGCCTCACTTACCATACACTAACTACACAACTATTTAATGTGGTCAGCCTCCACTTGGCATTTTTAAGACAGGAGGCCACTGTGGCATACTTTCAACTTATTCGTACATCCACATTGTGGGAGGACCTGGTTTAAGTAACTGGAAGAAAGAGAGAAAGAAGAGGGGGGGAATAAATAATAATAATAATAAAAAAAAAAAAAAAAAAAAAAACTTTATATCTTTGCGTTACTGTAGTTGCCGTTTTTTTTCTGTTTTGCAACACACCTCACGAAAATATATATATATATTAATAATGATAAAGATATAAATATCCTAAGAAACAGTTAAATGGTGACTTACAAATGATCTATTAAAAATGGCCAATTTCCTAATTTTACCTGAAAATACATTATTCTCTGTCATGAATACATAATTCCCCATCACACAGATTCTACATACATTCAAATGAAAATTTTCTCCTATTGAACATGACATCATGTTACACGTTGCATTGAAGAAGACCTTGGAGTGCTTTTACAGTATTTTAAGAGTCCCTTGTAGCCTCACTTACCATACACTAACTACACAACTATTTAATGTGGTCAGCCTCCACTTGGCATTTTTAAGACAGGAAAAAAAAAAAAAAAAAAAAAAAAAAAAAAAAGTGGATAAATCAATCATACCTTAACAATGTTCCTGTATCTGAAAAGAATAGGTTGAGATGTCAGAGCAAGGATAACTACTGTGATATTGCAAGTACACCTGATCAACACTGCTTCCAGTCTTATCCTCCACAGGCCTGTTACAAATTTAGAAAATATAATAAAGAAGTAAAGAAAAGTCACTCTCAACCCATCATATATTCATATTCGAAGTATATCTTGTAGAATACTATACCAGATATATTCATCATACTACAGTTAACATGGTAAGCCTTTTCCTTTGATATGAAACCATACAACTGCAATAAGACTGAATAATTGCTCAATATCAAAATACATTAAAATGAATGCTTGATACAAACATCTCCTCTGATTGTAACTGTTCAGTAGGACAGTTTCAACCTAACACAGTATTCCCTTAAATTTGAGAAATCTTGATAATTAAAAACAATCTGCACCCTTGTACAGCAAAGCTTGAGTAACATAAGAATAACAATAATATCAAGATGAAACTGAAAAGTATTTGGCAAAGTCCTCGCTAACAGGTCTGATTTATTTTCCAGGATCTCTTCTTTTTTTTCCATGATTGTTACCTGAAGCAGTTTTATTTCTTTACTTTTAAATCTCATAATTTAGTGATGTTGCCCTGTCAAATGGCTGAATCAACTAGTACAGTTTATTAGCACCTGAAAATGATGTTCAAGAATTTGATCATGACCTTGTTTATTTTCTGTTCTTTAGCATTTTTTCTTGTCCTTTTGTATCATAACAGACAACATTCTATTAATTTTCTTAACACTTATACCGTTTTTTACATAATAAAACAAATTCAACACACAAATCACTCACAAAGGGTACTCATTACTTCCACTTGATGGATGCACTTTCCAAAACTCATTTCTTTCACACACTTACTTAACAGATACAGAATATATTCTTCCTCCAACAACATCCAGCAAACAGTTATCAGAATCTTAAATACTAAGAAATCTCTCATTTTACACAAACATTCCTCTCTCTCTCGCACACAAACAAGACTCCAAACACGTACACACAACAGACATGCTATCCATTCAGTCTAATAAAAATTATAAATCTGTTATCAACCCAGATTAACACGTTGTTATATCTACACGCCCATTATCTATGGAGACTACCGACTCTTATCTATCCTTGAGCAACTTGTAACGTTTGGTGGCTCGCCCACAGAACAATCCTCCAACAAAGATGATGCCTATGGCCGTCACAAAGACCAACAGGATGTAGTTCCTCTCTGGCGAGGCGGACACATGGTTGACAATGTCCTCAATGGACTTCAGGTGTGAGATCTGCAAAGAGAGGGGAATGAATAGCATGTGTAAATAAGCATATACATATATTATGCATACATACATATATGCATATATATAAGCATATATATATATATATATATATATATATATATATATATATATATATATATATATATATATATATATATATATATATACAAAAAAACAAACACAGTAAATTATACACTAAGATGAATAGGAAAACAGCCACAGTATTTCGAACTCTTCACAAGTTCCTCCCCAGATGAATAATGAACCAAAATGGATGTGTGTGTGTGTGTGTGTGTGTGTGTGTGTGTGTGTGTGTGTGTGTGTGTGTGTGTGTGTGTGTGTGTGTGTGTGTGTGTGTGTGTGTGTGTGTGTCTCCCCAGCATGTGCACCCCCCCCCATCCCACCTATATAAGGAGAACATCTGGTAGCCAAAATAAACATTTAACTTCAAAAATTTTATTCAAACCTTGTAAGCTGCACTAAACATCTGTTTCCTGTCACGGAGCTTTTTGCTGCAGTCCTCTTTGAGGCCGTTCGGGTTCCTCTCTAAGACATCAAGCAGACAAGCCAGGTCTGTAAAAAAATGAGAACAGATGATGAATATAACAATTATCACAACACCAACAATGAAGATGACCATCATCATCATCATTACCATTATAATGTATGATGACATATGGTGGCAGAGGTGACACTGGTGGTCATCATGATGACAAGACAGAAAGTTATAAGTTCCATGCAAGAAAACAACAACTGACTTGCAAGCAATTACATTAAAACTTAACACTCATAACTTTACAGTCCTTATATATAAATACGTAAATGAATAAATAAATAAATATACACTATATAAAAATACTTTATTATAATTAAAAAAAAGCTAAAAAAAACTATAACATATTAAAAACCTTACGAAGCAAAGAAATACATTAACAGCATCTACACTCACGCTGTCCTTTCTCCTTGCCCTCACAGTACTTATTGTCATCTATTCCACAAGCCTCATTAAGGATGGGGTCAACGTGTATGTCTGCACGTTGAGTATCAATAACGTGGGCTATGTGGATCTTGCATTCTTCTGACTGGAGACGACCTGTGTCAAAGTGCAGCTTCAGGCACTCTTCCATCTTGCCTCCGCCGTCGTTGTTCAGGTAGTCATGGCACAGGACATTCATCTGTGAAAGAGGGTGGGATGGTGAGCATTCTATACAAGTGACACTACACCTTGCCATAATATGGATTACATTATGAGCAACATTTTAAGCA